CACTGAAAATAATAATAAAGGAACATAACAGACAAAAGTTTTCTTCTTGCTCAGGCAGCTTTTTACACTTTGCTTTGTCAAAGTACTATGAAATTGCATCATCTACCTATTGTCACTGTGTAGAGCCGCAGAATATCACAGAAATACCACAGGATTTTAATTCAAACCATACTCAAATGGCATAAAATTTATTGTTTTATTCCCTCAGAACTCTTTTCTAAATTTCATGTAAGCTTACGAGTATGAAAGTATACACACACAGCCTCAAGCTCCTCCTTTCTACCTTCACTGCAGCACAGCTTCGATCATGGAATTTTGCTAAAATGTTCCATTGCCCTCCTTAATCACCCAGAAATACAGACAATTACTTTCTAGAGAGATTTGGGACCAGCACTCCATCTCCTTCCATGTCTTTGCTTGTTTTAACACTGAAACCATACACTATTTCACTCTTCCTACTCTTGCAGCACTGGCCCTCTGAGGTTTTCCATTTATTTCTCCAGGCTTTGCCCTGATATAGTCTGGTGAATTCTTTCTCCCCTCCCACTCTTCACAGAAGTAAAAGCACTGTGCAAAGCTCTCCTTTGCCCTCCCCCTCTTTTCACTCTAGACCAATTCTTTGATAGGCAAGATCAAGCACAGGCAAGTTTAGACAACTGTCTCCTAAAATGGATGGAATGTGGTCACCTTCCCTTTTGTTTGCAGTACAAGTCAGCTGATTCTGGATTTTTCCCCACAGACTGACAGCCTTCTTTCCTCAGCTCTTCTAACATGGCCTAGATAGTTCCTCTGTAGCTTTGCCTTGATGTCATTCTCTACCACCAAACTACTAAAACTAAGAGTAAGTCAAGGAGGATGCAAGAAAGACAAACTGGGTATTGAAACATTAGGGTAAAGTTCCCTCCCTTGAGCCATCCCACAAAAATGTACAAGATTAGGTTTAGCACTTACACCACTGGAGCAGCAGCACTGAATCTTAACTACTGCCATCCAGAAGCAGCCAAATGCTGCAACCAAAGGCAACTTCTGAGGGAGTAGTGTCATTAAGAATGATCCCTGCATGACAGAGGAGGAAAGTAAAGTGGTTGCTGATTGATGGAAGTCATCACTCTGATGCAAGGAAATAAGACTGAAGAATTGCTTGATAATGATTCCTGAGACAAGACTTTTTTTTTTTTTTTTTTTTTAAATGCATCTGTGATGCTTTGTAGATCAGTTATTAGCATCTTGTAACAGCCTACTCTCCCAAGCTGCACCCATGGTTAAGAGTCAGGACACATCTACAAAAGCAGCTCACAAAGACTTCTATGTTTCAGTATCATAAATTTAACAATGATACCTAGCTTTTACAAGATCAGAAACAAGTACTACAGACAACTAGGGATCCCCCTTGCTCCTTCCAAAAAAGGAAACTTTCCATATTCTACAGACAAGAAGATAGAGCTTGATCGTCCCTGAGTGCTTTTATGATGGAATAGAGAAAAAAAAGTATTTCACCAACAAAATCACTGGGGCAAAAACCCCATAATCTGTCTGAAGGTTCTCAAGGAATTAAAAGTTGGAATTATCCTCTGGCTAAGAAATGTGGTGTGATACAGATGAAAAAAAAATAATCAATAATCCAAACATTATTGTGTTCTTCTCACGATCCATCTATCAAACTCATGTTTTTGCCACTCTTAGAGTGTTTAGTGTAATCACACATCATGGAAACTAATGTCCCAATTAACAGATCAAATCACTGAAAACCACTCATGCAAATAGTTCCCAGAAAGAATCATCAATAAAATAAAACTATTTGCTAAATGCTCACACAACATGGAAAGAAATGCGCACTTTTACTGTTGGCTGCCAAGCCTCACATTGTCTTTAAAGTTATTAGCATTGTAATAAGTTTACGTTTTTCAATTTTAGATCTGCATTTTTCCTACAACAGCTTAACAACTTACATTTCTGTAATGTAGGTCAACTGTAAATCTTCCTCAAAGATTTTTTTCTAGTTTTTTTTGCTTACATTCTTACTGAAGATCATTTTTTCTATTGTTTCTTTTTAGCACATATTCCTCTTTAAGATGAAGTTTAACATTAATAACTGACTTCAGCCAGACCACCCTCCCAAACATCTAGAACATCAAAATTTTATTATGTTGGATAATTTGTGTTTCAGATTCTTTGGTACCATTGAAAGTTAGAAACAACAGTTATGTTACCCATTAACAATTGCTTGCTTAGTCTGTATTATAGTTAGTATTCCCCTTCCTACTACAAACATTCATTTGATGCATAAACTTCATATTAGCTTAGTATTCACCTTCAGACTTTTTTTTCTTTTTTTAAACTGAATCCTGTATTTTACCAAATGAAAACATACTTAGTTTTTTTCGGACCACAGTTGTGTGTTCTGGACAACTTTTTTAATTTCTTCAAAGGCAAATTATACAGCCTGACACCACCTAACTTTACTGAAACTAACCAGCTGACATTTCTGCAGATGTTGTAGATATTGGAAGTTTTTATCCAGCTTATAGCCTTTCTGCCCTTCTCTTGTAATTCTTCTTAAAAGTTACACTTGTCCTCTTCTCTTATTTGCCCACAAAATAATGAAATTATTTATGCTCCAAGCCCTGAACCACTGAGAACCTTTCTCCATGTCCAGACAGCAACATCTGCATTTTCAGCAGTTTAATAACAACCTTTCTCCATTCTTCTGGTCTTCCCAGCAGGAAAAAAACCCCACATCTAGAACAGCAGTTTCAGAAAATTCTAAAAGCTCATCTGCTACTTATTTTGCAATATGGTCTAGTAGCCCTAGCCTGCAATTAACAATCCCCACTAAAGTAAACATTCTCAGCCAGAGAGATCATCACCCAAGAGAACCGAGTCTATGTCAGAATACAATGGATGGACAAAAAGAAGGTAAAGGAAACCGTAAGGTCAGTTAGGTACTGTGTACAGCTGTAAATACAAACCATAACACTGCAGGACAGGAGTAGTTACAAGTTTATACCTGAAATGAAGAATGAAAACACTGAAAGAATGTATTTCACTCCAATCCTTTTTGGTGTATTTTTTTAAAAAATGCTAGCAGTGTGCCTGAATTTAAGATCTGCCTCAATATCCCAGCTTACACATTTGTACTTGATTCCAGATCTGCTTTGGTGTTAATGGTCTGTTAAATGGAATATTTGTGTTACTACACTGTATCATTTCTACCTTCACTCTTTTAATCCCCTGGAAGATATATAAACCAACAAGGAAACATTTTTTGATGCCTTTTTTTTTTTCCCCTTTTAATTTATTACAAGAACAGCGAGAACTCACTTTGAAAGGTTAGTATTGTTCATATTCAATTTCATTTTAGTAGTCTGGAGAACCATCTCATCTTTGATTTTAATAAACTAGTTTAATGGAAGACATTATAAGCAGAAAAAATAAGACAGGATCAAAAGCTTTCATTTGGCTGAGATTTTGCTTAATTTGGAGGTAAAAATCAGGAACTCCTTGTGGATATAAGAGTTCTGATAACATTACAAACCAAACTTGCAAAACATTGGGCTCTTGAATGATGATATGCTATGAGAGCTGCAAGTGTGTATGAGTCAAGCAAACAATATTACCATGTGTAAGCACCTTCACAAGCAAATCACCAGATGAAGTACTAACACATTTTTTATGTTTGAACTTGGCTAGATAGCTATCAGCCTCTCTATCAGTGTCGCTATACAATTACAGCACAGGATGACATTAGAAACATGCACAAAATATTAACAATTGCATGGCCCATTTCCTGAAATAAAGTAACAAACCTAAGCAATCTATTTCACAGAAGTCCAAGATCCCTGCTTGAAAATAATTTTTAAATGATCCCTGGTCTAAAGTTGTATTTTTCAAACGTCCTTTTTCCTACACAGCAAGACTCCACAACAATAGGTGCTTATACCACCCTTTTTATTTTTCAGCCAGAAATACAGTGTCATAGGGTATTTCAATAAACAGTGGTGTTTATTCCTTAAACAAACCCCCCATCTCTTTGGCATCTGACCATATTTTGTTTTTCAAACTGAAGACTATATAGGAACATTTTACTTTCAATATCATTGTTCAATACATTAAATTTACACAGGTGTAGTTAACTTTTAAAAATACACATCAGTTTGTTGCAGAGATTCTAGTAAACCTAAAAAAAGATAATCAAACCAGCAAAATGCAGACTACAGGGCTGCCTTCATTTACAACTGTGGTGTAAGTACAGAATGAGAAGAACCCTTCATTTTCCACAGCGCATGCACTAACTAGTGCTTTCTATTTGTTCTGTGCAATAAACAAACAAACCCCCCCTTAATTCTACCAGAAAAAACTGATCAAATAATTTGTTTCAAAAGAATGTGATCTTATTTAACTTCTTCTGCAGAGGTCATCAGCCAAAACCAAGCTGCACACTGCTTCAGTACGAGATTGCACCTAAAAAACCAAAAAGTCTGAAAACTATTTTTCATTTTTAAACATAAGTTACTACAGTGTTTTAAATATATCTAGGAATACAGCTGTCAAAACTGCATCTGATGTCATGTTCGGATAAAAAAAAACCCTTAAGTAACAAAAGTAAGCCAGTGTATTCAAGCTACTCTGTTGAATAATCCAGGATCATCTCTTCAATGCTGATACAGAAATACTTCACTTGCACTCAAAAAAAAACAGTCTTCCAGACCTCAAGTCTTCAGTGCCTCAAATCAATTGAATTTCCAAAGCAATGCTGAAGTTATTTGACACCTTCCATTACTATACATGATACAGAAGTAATGAATTAAAATAAAATCAAAACCGTTACTGACATACCATTACAGTCACTCCTGTGTATTTACTGGAATATGCAGTGAATCCTTGTTTGTGTGTCAAGATAATGTAAAAAATAAATCTCACTAACAAAAAATAAAAGTCTTCACTCCCCAAAAGCTTTGTTTTTAATAACCCAGATACTTTTCCAGAACAAGTTTTATAGAAGAGAGGAGGCAGAACAATTACTTCCATGCAGAAACTAAAAGATAATTTAATAGGATTCAAGTAGCAAAGGTTTGTTTTATGAGTGAATCTCACCAGTGCAAGCGTAATTTGAAAGTGTTTGAACTGGATTGTTTAAATAGCAAGTGATCCAATTTAGCCAAGCTCACTTCCCTCTCCATGATGTAAAAAAATAATACATACTTTTTACTGTAGAATACAGGAACAAAAAGTAAAACCAAAAACCTCCTAAACTTGAGTACTTAACCAAGAGCAGTTTCTAACATCAAGCCAAAATTAGGAACAACCAAGCAGACGTCACTGATTTTTTTGGTGTTAAATTACTGTAAATACTAGATCTAACTGTACAAAAAAAAAAATAATCCCACCCCCCAAACTCAAAAGCTATTTTTTTGTTAAAGGTGTCCAAAGAAATATCCACTAGTTGCAGTCAAATTTGCATCAGAAGCTGCTTGCTCAGGAAAGATTTCTCCCTCTAAGTATTTGTAACACATTGCATTGCCAAGATTCTATTCAAATAAATTACCTTCTGGTAACATTTAGCTGATACAACCACCTACAATGTGGACAGTCATGTGCACACTACAACAGTGGATTTTTGCAGCAACAGAGAAATAATCAGAAATTGGTTCTGAATTTGACATGATAGCTCATGTGTTATTTCTTGTAAACATACGGTCCCCTCTAAGGGTAAGGTGTTGGAGCTGGTATTGTAGCACTTCTGTGTCAGCAGGTTCCTTAATGCTCATTTTGTCTAAATTGAGGTAGTCCAGGGATTTTGAATGAGCCCTTTTACCTTTTAAAAGGCAAAAAGGCAGGGGACCATGAAGTGCCTTGTAAGGTTCATATGGTAAAGCCTTAGTGCATTTATCCCCTGAGCTAGGCATCCGTCTCCTCCTCCTTCCATTTACTGCTGGGATCTCATATGGCTGATAGTACCTACTTCTAGTTTTGTACAAACGGGAAGAACGTGTAAGTCCTGAATCAAGCTGCCTGGAGCGCATGTTCGGCCCGGATTCCCCTTTATTCTCTTCACTTCCTGTACACTTCTGGGCTAATTTTAGCAGCTCCTCTCCAGTCGTGAAGCCAACCAGGTAGTTAGAATCCATGTGAAGGATCTGATATCCCGCAACCGTCCGTCGCATTGGTGAGCAGGGGGTACTGGAACAGCGGGGCTTCTCTGCTTCCATTCTGCCTGCAGGACTCACCTCTGCAAGAGGCACAGGGAGGGTGGATAGGGTAGTTCTGGACTCTCCGTTTATATCAACTTCCATTTTAAACACAATGCTATCCTCCTAAAAATAAAACAGAGCTCGATCAGAAATAGAGCCTTTATGCAACATGGGGAATTAAGAGAGGATCGCAGAAATAAAATTTTTGTATCACCCAGAAGTCATGACCAGTACTTCTCTATTCAGCCTTGTCTTACGCTCTGCAGGGCATTGCATAACAAAACTATCAACCACAACTGCCTTTTTAAATTATCTTGGGTGGGTTTTTAAAAGATACCATAAATATACTCCTGATATTCCTAAACATTAAAAACATTCTTGACTAGTACTGTACACAAAAAAAGAAGCATCTTTCCAGTCTATTTTTTAATCCTTTTAGTCCATTTGATTCCTCATAGCCCCCCACCTCTGAGGCCTTCTGCATCCATTAGCACATCCACAGCAACTTCTCCCATATTCAGCTGTGTATTTTTTCTATTGACAATAATCTCGGTAAACAAAGCTTTTAAAAAATGTGTCTAAGAGCTAGTTCCTCAGTCAGGCATGACCACAGACCAGGCGTGATCTTCTGAGGGTAATACAATGCTTCCCTCTTCCAGATGTGAAAACAGCTTGCTTTAGATTCAAAGAATGACATCCTGGCTGTTCGACAACTGTCTTTATAGGTCATCAGCAATGCCCGACCCCCCCAAAAACCCACACCATCTTATTCACAATCAACCAAACAAACTCACAGTATTTTATTCTAAAGTATAGTATACTAGCATTTAATGAATATAGCATATGTTTCTTATAAGCATCTTAAGAATAACCAGTATTCTGAATTTTATGGTATTTATTTGTTTTTCTATTTCTTTTGGAAATGGACTATTTTGCCCTGACCTTTCTTCCCTCATGACTACTCCAAATACATCATTTGGTGCCTTTACAGATACAACTGTCTACCACAAGCCATTACCATCTCTAACATGGAAAGATAAGGTCAATATCACCACAAGTGGTGATCACACCAGCGGATGCCAAAACACAGAAAAGGGTTAATTCTTTCCACTTTGTTTTCAGCACCATCTACACCATCTGGGTGGCACAGCTACTTCACAAAATAGAAAGGTCACATTTGTTCCCAAATCCATGCTTCCTTGTCAGCCTCACCTTTGCTCTAAACTGTAGCTAGTGGCTCTCTAGCCAATATAGTTCACAAAAAATTCAGCATAGCTTTGTAATGTTTAAAGGCAATGAGACTCAAAGAAGAAAGGAAAGTTAGTATGCAAGTGTCAAGCAGAAACACAATTCTGAATTTCATTATAGATGACCGTAAACCACATTCAAAAGCTCAGTAATGTTTCACAAATGAGACTGACTTAAACCATGCTATTATCAGTTTGCAAACTTTTAAAGCTGCTACTTGCTGCCATTCTGAGGTTTAGAAGGTCACAGGCTGAGTAGCAATGATGCAACAAACAAGGGAATACTTTATTCAAACTTCTGCAGTTAGGCCCCCCCCCAATCCCATCAAGATTAATCTCTATTCATTTGTCTTAAAATAAGGGGGAAAGCTGTGTGCAAATCTCACTTGCAAAAGAAAATAATCTAGCCTCACGAAAAAATTCAGCTTACCTTGTTTCTGTTCAGGGACTGGGAAGGAGCAGTTTAAGTAATGTTCCCATCTCTGCTTCCCTGCTTAGCCTCAAATCAACCTGCTGCTCCCTATGCTAATAAACTAGCAGCAAACAAAATCCCCATAGTTTTGCTGAAGAGGATTTTATTTGCCACTGGTGAACTTCTGTTATGGAGAGACTATTACTAATGTTCCTTTAGTCTTAAAGGTCCTTCTTCCATTCTCACAATCGTGGTCTACTTGGGATTCTTCATTACCAGTTAAGTGTAGCATTGCTTTTACAGATACAAAGATACATTTCATCCAGTCAGCTTTTAAGCATTTTGAGTTTAACAATACAGGTAATACAGGAAAAGCTAAATAAAGAATTAAAATACTGAAGCAAACCAAACACCAAAATTTTTCACTAAAAAACCATCCACATAAAACTTGAGAATGTTGCCTGTTGTATTTAACTGACTTTGAAATATATTTATGGAGTCAATTAAAACTTTCAGAATAGCAGAAGCAGTTGTTGTTTCCTACTTTAGCACTGTATGAGACAATAAATACAGTAAGGTTTCAGCCACTGAGTCAAAGATATTCATGACAATTCCTTAAGTAGAAAGTATAGATCCTCCACCATCAGGAACCATGGTTTCTGGAGGCATAGCACAGAAAAATTTTGCATTAAAACTTTTTGCTACCCTGTGGTTTTAGCCAAGAAACCTAAATATTTAACTGTTCCTGTTCTTGTAATTCCCTATTTTTACCCTGCAGTTCAGAAATCTTTCCAGTAATCTTCTATAAAGACTAAACCTATTCTGTTAAAAAGCTGAAATGTTGCTAGAAAAAAATACAAGTGCTCAAAAAAGTATAAATAAAATAGTCATACAGCAAGGTTAGAAATGAATCATATTATCTTGTCACATATAAACAGCAACAACAATAAAAACCCCAAACCAACAATCACTTGCCACAACAATACGTGCCCTAAGGAAAGGGAGGGAGGAAGAGATGTCTTCATGCACTTTTTGAGTAAAGAAAACCTTACAAACTTGAAAGCAACACAAAGGCTTTTCTCAGGACACAGCTTTTAAAATTAATTTACTTCTGTTTGAAACATGGGCATGTGCCGTGGTAACAAAAAGCAATCAACTCTGAAGAATAACTACAAGCAGGGGGGAAGGAGGCAGGAGTTCACTGCCCATTACCCCTCACTGGCCAAAAACAGTACAAAGGAAAATCAGAGCAGAAAAGCCTTCAAGTCAGCAAGCTCCAGCCTAGTACTTCAGCTTGAAGCCACAGAACTTCCATTTCTGCGCTCCAGTGTGAAGAACAACCCTAAAAACAAGAAATCCAACAGAGACTCAAAAGCAACAGTAGCATCAGAAGCTCAAGGCAACAGCACTGCTAGCTGGTGAGAGGAATGACTGGCCAGCTCCACAGGCAGAGCATCCAAACTCAGCATCTAGGTGTTCAGCTGTTCTTTCCCAACAATTTTAATGTGAGTTAACTCAAGCTGCCATATGGCTTCAACATGCTTCATCTCCTTACCTGGCAAAAAAGGATAGAGAAACATCATTTAGAAGACTTCTATGAAAGAGAATCATTTGAGAGATTCACAGTGGGTGTAGATACCACCACCTACAAATACATACTTAAAACTTTTAGATTGCATTTTTAGGTCATTTCTGTGGCTATATGCATTAGATGACTACTATTATGTTCATTGCTGTGCAGTGGTGTAAGCTCATCAGTAATTCTCAGCATCAATTATAATACTGAAAAAACAGTACTTCAGTTTAAAAAGATTATTTCTTCAGATCACAGCTGCCTTGTCTTCTTGCTTCTCAAAGAGAATGACGACTGAGTGATGCCAATTCAAGACTTTATAGTTCAAGATTTACTCTAGAATCAAAACAAGAAGAGGAGCAAGATGGCATATCCTTTCCTTTGCTACTTCACATATTTAAAAAATATGGAAAATAACTGAAAATAACAGTTACCAAGAGGATTCACTCAACCAATACACTCCAGAAGTTCTTCCAGAATACAGCTCGCTTCATTAAGATTGTACAAGATTTTATTGATTCTCTCTGTATTATAAAGCAGGCTCTGCATATAAATTAGTCTGACCCAATCCAGCTAAATATTGAGAAAATTGGCTAAAATATGGAGAAGAGGAATAATGAACAGAAATACGAGGTTAACTACCATAATTCATAGTATTACCTCAAAGAAATCATAAATATGCTTGGGATAGTTCTTCGAGGGTAAAAACATCAAAACCTCCACATTTCGCAAACATAAAGGCTTTCCAATTATCAAATCTTTCACAAAGGTGTCAGATACCACTTAAAGATTAGCATGGGACAAACAAAATAAAGTCTACATTATTTTGAAACCACCACAATAAGTTGCTTCAGCAAAAGAACTGGTTCTCCGTAAAGTCGTGTTTCCATTGTTACTTATCTTCCTAAGTAGAATGTGTACAGATTTGAGAAGATGCCTCTTTTTAGGATGAGCATTAAATTTCCATCCATCCAACTACTGATTTTTTTTTTTTTAAGAACAGATTGTGTTTGTTCCTACATGCCAAGCCTAAAGGTAGTACCATTTGTGAAGAACCACAAAGATCTCCCTCATTGATAAAATGCTCATAATTGCAATAAGGAGACGGCAGAATGAAAAGATGGCAAGACTCAGTGATACCAACTCTGTAAAAGAGTCAAATGTATTGGAAACAGATATCAAGCCAGTTTTGACACTTCCCCTTCTCTGTGCTGCCATTACTTAATATATATAATGCACTTAAAAGATACAATGTTTGTCTATCAAACATCAGGAGTAAGTAAAGTCACCTAGCATGTGTGGAGCCAGCACGCATTTTTAATTATTTCAATTGTCTCTGTTTGTGAAGGGGAGGAATAAGGTCTATATCCTTCCCCTTGCAGCCTGAAAACAAAATTCACAAACATATAGTATATGCTCTTGGAAATCCCATCTTGTTTATTTGTCACTAAAATATGATGATAGAATTATGTACTTGTAGAGCAACGTTTTCCGGAAATAATTATTCCCAATCCGCAACTAAAACAAGTGAAATATTTAGTTGAAAGGGAAAAAATCAAGCTCAAATTCAGCTGTGTAAGAGTATTCACAAAGGTGCCACATTTCTCTTTCTAGAGCTGAGGCAGCCAGGCCACAGACATCGAGATGTATGCAGCTTGTAGGTTCTTCCAGTGCAAGCTGGCGATACTGCTGAATATACTGCCAGAGCCAGATGGTTATTTCTAGCCATGCTCTTTACTTTCAGCTGAAGGAACTTAAGACTAATGTTGCTCCACCATGCTCTTGATGGTCTTCTATAATAGTTGTGTTATGTTTTACAGACTGACACCATGTTTGTAGAGACAGAAAGGGGAGCGGGGTGTGGGTCGTCATGGAATTCACAGAGAACAAGCTCATGAAAGGTATCAATAAACTATACAGATTCTTCACCAACTCTTGCTGGTCCTTAGGAGAAATTCCAAACTACTCTAAGCTAAAGAAAATGAGAATGGAAGTAATATTAAATTGTTGTACCACATGAGACAACATTCAGATGGAGTAGAACAAAGTTTAGCACAGATTTTTTCTCAAAATTACATGCAAGAAAATGAAATTATACATATCCTGCAAGCCTTAAGAATACAGAAAAATGGATATCACTGAATTAATAAAGCCAATGCAATAACTCCAGGATATGAAGTAAAACAACAGTTCACAAAACAACCAGTAAAAATGAAAACTACAGAATAGTGTGTGTGTGTTTGTGTGTGTATGTGTGTGTGAGGTTCTTGTCAACAGGTGAAGTATTAAGCCCTTCAGCAATCCAGTATACTGTACAATAAATATCACATTGTTTATACAGAACAAGTAATTATTAAATGTTTTGCAAAAGAAGATTAAATCAATTTCTAATAATATGTTCCTATTGCAAAAAGCAAGAACTATTTAACCAGTTTGTTAATTCTTGTCATTAATGCAGCTTTAAACAGAAAACAATTATGATCCAGGAAACTACCTTTTAAAAGTGAAGAGGATCATCAACGCATTACCAAGGAACTACAACTGGCAGCTCCAGCAACTAGTTTAGACCAGATCAGCACGACAGAGCATACAACTTACACAGAACAGACACAGATGGAATTTCAAGAGTAGGTTCAGGCTAATGAATTTTGTACGAGCAGACTTAGCAAGCAGGGAAAGTAAAAGAAAACGTTGCAAAAGAAGGCCATTTAACTTCTGACATCTCTTTGCTGAGCAATATCAGATGGAAGTGTTTAACAGAGGGTAACTTTTCTGAAATTAATTTAGAGTCTTTTAAATAAACAATGCAACTTCCTTGCTGGGTGGACTCACAGATGAATTCTTCCCCCCCAACTCCATCAGTAAGCCAATGCTCCTGGCCAGCATAAAGATACCTGTTTACTATCAGTACTCATCAAAAGATGAAATAATGAGACACATGTAAAGAAGCTGATGCATATTGTAAAACAAATAATTTTTATTCTTTAGTTCGTTAGTGAGTTAAAATAATATTTTCTTTATAATTGCATTTTATTTCTCTGTATTTTTGATTTTCATCTTCTCACCAACCAAAATCTAAGTTTCATTTTCGAAGTTCCCTTCTCTCCAGTTTCAGGACAGCCCACTTGGAAAAAGACCCACACCACAACCTGACTTATCCACAAAAATTAAATTTCCTTTTTAAAATAATAAAGATAGGAAAAAAACCCTCAAACCCAGAGTTTTTCAAGTATTACAGATTTTACTGAATAAATACTGATTTTTGTCTTTAAACAATAAAATGCTAATGGGAATAAGGGTCTCCATTGTTTTTGTGTCAGAGAAGAAATGCATGTTTGGTAGTACTCCATACTGCCACGTCTGAAAATACAGCTCTGCAGATATTATCATGAAACTATCGATCTAAACAATAACAATATTATATTCAGCTTTTGACTAGGAACAGCTATTCAAAGAAAGATAGTAGTTAAAAACAAGACCTACTCAAATATTTCTGGAAAATATGTTTAATCAATGCAATTTTTTTTTTATTTTATTTTTTTAACTGAAGCACTTTAAATGACTAGTTCTTTGTCTTAACTTGATACAATCTGCATCAGATATTTAGGCATTTGTTGGAAAGGTGTCTCATTCACTTATACCACCCACATTGCTAAAGGTCATTTCCTCAACCTTACTAGAGTTACATATATAACGGCTTAAAGTTTTGTTCTCTGCCTCCTTCTCAAATGCTCCTTCCCATACTTAAAACAGTTGGGTTTAGGTAGCATTAAGTGCAATGCAAGTATGGAATAAAAAGCCCAAGAGCACATGCAGGTACAGTAAATTTGTATTAAACTTACCACTAGTGTGACTGGAATACTCAGTTAATCTGAGTTTACCATAACATACTGCATTTGCATATGATTATGCATGCCTGGTGGCCAAGCCGGCAGCATAATGCTGGTCAAAGAAGAGATTATAAAGAAAGCCATGCTACAATGTTGGTACTGTTACGCAAGAACTTAATTTCAGTGATCGCACTGCTATTGCCTCACTTCCCTCTGTTTCAATGTCACTGGGAGAACCACCCTCCTCCATCTTCATGACTCTAACAAGAGCTCTTCCACAAGGAGAAAAAAAAAAAAAAATAAAGCAAGCACACCACGTAAGACAGAATATGGTTCAAAATACAACAACAGCAGCAGGGTGGTGGGAGGAGAAGCTTTCAGTAAGGAAGATGACTGGAAAAAAGTAAGGAGGAGAATCAGTTCTGCACATTTCTACGCCCGTGGCAAAACAAAGCATCAGTTCTGCAGTCCTCACTACACCCCTCCTGGAAATGCTCCAAGGACTCTTAGTCTATTCAGGATGAGCTGTGCCAGAAGTCGGCCAACTACTGGTAAAAGCAGCAAGTCCTTCCCCCCATCACAGACCCTCTCCATTACTCCCACTGAGATCTGTGTAACTGCAGGCTTCTGCCTTTGATTCATTTCCACATGCAGCTATGCAAGCATGTATGTATGTATGTATGTACAGCGACAGACTGCTCCACTCTAGAGAGCACACTAACAAGCAAAGTTACGTTCATAGAAAACATCTACAAATGCACATCATTTGCTATTTCCTTTATACTAGGTACATACACACATTTATGCCAGCTAACCCCTCTATGTAAAATAGCATTTAAATAACTTATATATAAAGAAATTAAGACCTGAGATTATTTTCCTACATATCTGTAGACCACTCGAAACAGTGCCGCAACTGTTCAGACGCTCCCCCAAGTATCTTAATACACAGAGACAGAATGAGCAAAAACACGCCTGCCAATAAACCAAAGCAGCTTAGCAAGCTTCATACTCTGTGAAGTAACACTTTAATGCACGTCAGAGCGCACAAATGCAATCCACGAGTATCACGGTCAGTACAATCAACATTTAAACAGAGCTTTGAGCCTCCGTTTACCCGTCACTAAGCAAGGTTTATTACAGAGAAATACAAAGTTACCGATAGGAAGCTGGGCACTAGTGCCCTTTGTTACTATGAGACCGAACAGTAAGGTCATACTCAGGTTTAGCACTTGCCTAAGAGTATTAAGAACAGCGAGGGGACTGCTGTTGGTTGCAAGCTGCAACTGAAGAGAGCTGTAAAACGGTTACGAACGGATAGAGGTGCTAACAGGTGAACTACTCTTGGCTTCTCCGCCGTTTACAGTGTTACTAGCGGCTGGCACAGAAAGCGCACTTGAGCAACCTCACCGCAGGCTCCAGGCCCTACATGACAATTCCCCAGGCTTCCTTCCGCACGGGGGTACCGGCACTAACACCCTGGTTTCGTCCTAGACCCGCCCGGGCAGCTCCACCAACGCTTCTGCGGTGCTCCCCGCAGACTTCCGCTGCGTCCAGCGGCTGCGGCTGGGGGAAGCGAAGCAGCCGCGTGCTGGCAGCGCGGGATACACGGGCCTGCGGCCAGCGCGGGGCCCGCCGCTCGGCCCACGGGAAAAGGAGAGGCGGGCGGGGGACACGCACCAGGACCTCCGCGCTGCGGGGGCGGGGAGAGTGCGTCTTAGGCGCCGCCGGAGCCGGGGTCCGGCCTTCACGCGGCTCCCAGGCCGGCAGCGGCCCCGGCGCCGCTGCGA